GTAAAAATTAAACATGAGATCAACTGCTCACACATTAAGCCTAAACACAACTCCTAAATCCACAATCATCACTAGGTATAGAAAGGAATGAGTTAAGTATGCTCGAGCTTTTCCAAATTTAATTTACCCCTAGTAGTCTGTATCTGGGTTGATTTTAAACTTACTATTATAATTATGTCAGACATGAAATTTTATGGGGTTAGTTCCTAAGCTAGGCGTATCAAAACAATTATGCAAAAAATAGAAAAAAATGTCCATTTTATTTTTATGTAGTGTATGATTATTTTTCCTTAAATTTGTTTAAGCGCACATCTTTTTTTATAGAACACTAGAGTATTTTGGTCAGTTTTTATTATCTTTTTGGTTTAGGCACGGATCTTTTTGTTAATGCATTTTTTTTTTTTGGTGTATCTAAGTCAAAAGGTAATGCCTCCCATATTTACATCCACTGGGTTAATTCTATCAACTTGCTTCTTTCTAGAAATCAGGTACATGATAATTCGAATTTCAAAATAAGTTTACAAGAACTGAATTACCTTCTAGATATTGTAGATATTATGTCATAAGATAATTTAAATTTCAAACTGAATTTACAAGAACCGAACATGTGAAGCAACGAGAGAAAGAGACCTCGAAGTAAAATAGATGGGAGTAAGGAAAAGATTTGATGATAGTGTCATTTGGAGGCTATCACCCAAAGTACCAAAATTAAGTTGATGATCATTTTAGGGAAATCTTTGGAGAGGGTAGCAAAAGGAAGGAGTCAGTAGGATCATTCAACGAATATGATGGCCCTTATAGACAATGGAACATCCTAAAAGCATGGTATCTCTCTCTAACTACTTGCATCTCTCTCAAAAAATCAGCAGCCAGAATATGAGAAAAGAAACAGTTGAAATGCAGAATTACAGTCTCTCTCTCTCTCTCTTTCTCTCTCTCTCTCTCTCTCGCTTATATAGTGTCACTGGACTCGCGTCAGGCAAGTAACTCGGTTTCGCCATGTGGGTGAGGTCATGTAACCCCAAATTGCGTGCATAGATTGGGGAACATAATTTTTAAAAAATTATAAAGAAATATTATATAATTGTTTTGTATATGATTTTCTTTTTGCCATAATCTCTATTTTTATACTTTTATTGACTTTTTAAAATGTTCCCAAGTATAAAGTAAATTTTATCCATTTTTTTAAAAAAATTAAGTTTATTTGGACTTTTAGAAGTTTTTTTTTAGTCTTATTTTAATTTTTCTACCTTTTTTTTATTTTATTTTTAATTTTCGTGTTCTTAATTTAATTACGACTTCCTGACCCTATTCAGGACTCGACCAAGTTCACTTAGACGTGGACAAAGTGAACGAGTTGGCCAAGAGACGAGTCCATTAGCCGACGTGAGTTCCATGACATTGGGTCTATGCATGCTGTTCCAAATACAATTCTATTACCTACCCCAGAAATATATATAATTATGTTAGAGAGAGAGAGGGCATAAGTGGTTTATATAACCATACTTTTTGAAAGAATTGAATTTTGGTGAAGGGTCTCTTCTAGTAAGTATTTGGGTTTGTCCATTTTCAATGGCAGTCTAAAGCAATATTACTGTTATATTCTAGTGGGTAAGGTTTTTGGCAAGATTGGAACGTGGAATGCTCTTTTACTTTTTCATGTAGGTCGACTTCAGCTGTTGAAATCTGTTCTGAGCACCTCAGCTGTCTTTTGAATTCTCTCTTTTATACTCCCTAAGCGTACATGTCATAAGGTAGAGAAGCTGCAACACAATTTCTTTTGAACAGGTACTGTTGGTAATAAAGGAATACATTTGGTAAAGTGGAAGGTTGTTTATCAACTTACAGATAAGGGTGAACTGGGAGTTCGTAATATCTCAAAGCTTAATACTGCATGTATGATAAAATTGGCATGGAAACCTATTTCAAATCCCTCCTCTCTCTCTCAGTGCATATTTTTTCAGGGACAAATAGTTCAAAAGTTGGTCTATCTGGGACACAAAGAAGAGAAGTTGCTCTTATGCTTGGCAGGGGATCCAATTGGGTCTTTCTCATCTCTAACACAACGTCAAATGGAACATAGGTGCTGAATGCTTGGTACATGTTCGTGCGGACCCATGGTTATCAGAAATATCAATATGGGAATCTTATGGAAATCAGATCTATAAGGACGTGGGTGTTATGGCCAAGCCTAAATGTTTTTGACTATTTGAATGGCCCTACTCAGGAATGGACTCTCCCCACCCTCACATCCGGTCCCTTGATCAGAGCTTGAGGTTAAGGCTTATTGGCTTCCCCTTAAAGCTAAGAAAGATTTTCTTATTTGGACTCGATCTAAGAATGGTGTTTTTCAGTTAAGCATGTATAGGAATTTCTTCGACATAGAGGTTTCTCACATGCTGTCTTTAGGGTGCTTTGGTCTTCACACTATCATTCAAGAGCGAAATGGTTTTCCTGGATGGCCCTCTATCAACGACTCCCCATTATTCTTTATTATAGCAAAGAGGGATTGTTATAAATCCCATTTGCCATTTTGCCATATAAATGATGACAATATTTCACATATTTTATTCCATTATTCTTTCTCGCAATCGGCTGCATGGCAATGTGGTAAGAGGTTCCAATTTGACTCTTCAATGGCGGGTATATTATGGATATGGATGTCTTATAGGTTCAAGTTAGATGGTTTCCTCAATGTGGCTCTCTCTTTTTCACCATTACGTGGTTGTTATGGGATGAACGCAACCAGCGTCTCTTTAAGGAGAAATTGTCCAAAGGTGAGTATCTTGTCAGGAAAATAATTTCCCATGTTAGCGAGCTTGCAAATACTAAAGCTTGGTCCTTCCATTTATTTGAAAAGGCCATGACGGATAACTTTATGGCATCAGCAACATATCAAAATCCCCATTCCAATCACATGGTCTTTCCCTTATCATCAACATTTTAAACTTACTATCAATGGTGCTTCTTTCCACAATCCAGGGATGACATGTGGAGGCGGAGTGATTGGGGTGATGATGGGTCTTTTGTTATGGTTTTTGCACATCCTTGAGGTCTGACATCTAATAACTATGTTGGATTCTATGCTCTACAAGCAGGTATGGCATTAGCCATACAACTTGATTGTTTTTCACTACAGATCGAGAGTGACTCGTCCCAGCTAGTTGAAGTTATTCATGGCCACTACAAAGCGCCATAGTCACTCTATATTATAGCTGCCAACTACCGTCATAAGCTCACTAACCGGGCATGGTCCTTTTCACACATCTTCTACAAGGCCAACATGGTGGCCAATACTCTTGCTAAGAAAGCCACGACTTTCTCTAATACCACCATTTGGCGTTCGAGGCTGTCTAATTTTATTATTTCTCCTCTACTTCTGGATGATGCACAAATTTCCTACAATAGGGTTTTTAAGCTTTGAGATGTACTTTCTTTTCTACTTATTAGTGAAAATCGGGTAGGAAGCCTTCCCCACTAATTTACCCTCAAAAAAAAGATACGAAAAAAAAAAAGTATCATGCTTTTTGAGAAGAAGAAAGGTGAAACACTTGGCCGTTGAAGAGTATCGGCCAAGCGTCACTTTTACCTTTTTATAGAGAGAGAGGACATGAATAAACGTCTAAGGATGCTGAAAACCAAATCACCACCCTTCCCTCCTCCTTCATTTCTCAACTCAACGGCTGATGGCTTCGCTGCTCTCATACTTACCGGAAGAGGACATAGATATGCCATCAATTATCGTAGACGCCCCTAACTTTTCAGTCAAAATCTATGAAAGGGGACTTGAACGTGGTGAAAATAGGCAGATTTGCTAAGTCAACTGCATTAAGCTTTTTGTGGCTCCAAGGGGTACACTTTCTCTTAATTCCAAACTGGACCAATATAGTTAATCAGTTGGTACATATGACTTGAGCTTTGAAATTATGTGACATGAACAAAAATCAGCACATAAGGCCATCCTTTTCGGTATGAAGGCTAGAATAAGCCTTAAACACTGTGCTCTATGCCTGACCATGTGCCACAAACTCCAGTAGAGCTGTACATAAAATGGTAAACCATACACTGCTAAGCATCCGTGGTAGCTACCATCGACAAAAATATCACATAAATCTTAACGGCATTATTCGCAATTAACATCCCATTAATAGCCGACAATCAGCATTGAATAGAAAATATATGGAGTACTTTTCTCGAGCGAAAACTTGGCCCTTGTGTTCGGAATACTAATTATGATAATAAAAAGAGTAATGAGAGCCGAAAAAAATCACGGTAATCGCTCTTTGCTTTCTTTGGCGTGCTTACAGAAATGGAAGTCGTGTGGTGTAATTTTCTTATGTGAATATTGGGTGATAATGCACTTTATACCTCTATCTGTTTAAATAAACAAAGGCTTTACAAGTTCAATGTGAATTGAAGATTCTTATGAGTGAGAACACTTCTTATTATCAATTTGCTTGCTACCCGATGAAAATGTAACTCAATTGAATCTTTGTGCATCTTAACATAAGGGACGATATGAAGCATCATCGCACACTGTTCATGAAAGAATGTAATGGCTAACTTTTTTTTTTTTTGGTATATTGTTATCTATGATGCTCAATAAAGGACTAAAAATGCAACATGAAAAGGAGATGTCATTTTTATGGTTGTTGAGGGCATTTTTGTTGCTTCAGTTGAATAGAAGTAGAGCCGAGATAAAAACTGTAAGGGTAAAATTGACTGATATAAACACAAAATATGAAACATCTCTCTCACTTTCTCTCTCTCCAAAATGCACTTGCACACAAATGAAAATTTCATTGTGCCCTCTGTTCCATTCTCTGTATTTGCCAACCCATGCCTGCATAACCTCATAATGATGAATTCAGTTTTTACCGGCCATTCTCTCTCTCTCTCTAACCTTTTTTAGTCAAAGAGTGGAAGCACCGTCCTCTTAAGCTTATAAAATGACATGAATTGCTCATTTCTTTTCTGAAAACTGAGTCTGCATAGAGAAAATGGGGCGAGCAAAGCTTGAAATTAAGAAATTAGAGGAGAAAACAAGAAGGCAAGTAACCTACTCAAAGAGAAGTAATGGCCTCCTCAAGAAGGCCTACGAGCTCTCTGTTCTGTGCGATATCGACATCGCTCTCATCATGTTCTCTCAGAATGGAAAACTCTCCCTTTTCTCAGGGGAAAAGAGGTCACGTAACCAATCCTTTCCTCTCTCTCTCTTTTTGTTTGCTATGTATGCTCATCTAGATCATGACTTAGTCTCTTAACTTTTTTTTTTCTTTTTGTCTGTGTTCATTTGCAGGATTGAAGAAGTTCTTGCGCGCTACATGAATCTACCTTTGCATGAAAGAGAGAGGTAAGAGTTTAAGGTTTAATGGTTTATGTGAGTTTCTCATCCTTTTTTTAAGACCGTGTTTCCTTTAATGTGTATTCTTAATTGGGTTTGTTTGCTGTGTCATTTATGTTTGATATTCAACTTCAAAAGGCTTAAGGAAGAAGACGTAAGTACCTGCTCTCTCTCTTGTTCTGTGTTCAAATTTGTGGTTTTTTGTTAAGCACTGGATCAGACTGTAACTTAAATGATATGGTCGGCCTCCCAAAACAGCGTGTCTTAGAAGACCTCATGAAGCTGAGCTCTGAAGTCGATCTGGCCTCACAGCTATACGGGTATCTCTCTCTCTATATGTAGGGTGCAGTTGGCATACGGATGCATTCGTAGGTGTAGAGGTAAGGTGCACCTTCAAATTTTATTATGGTATATAATTTTGATGTAAAATGTT